CTCTGCCAGTCACTAGGCCAGCCTTCTAAGGCCATTGTGAGCTGGAGCCGCCGTGCGGAGAGAGCCAGGGCCTGGAGAAGGGGTGAGGCAGAGCCTCCTCTAACCTCGAAGACCTGCCTCCTTGCTGGGCTCCGGCCCTAGACAGAGCCTGTACGGGGATGGGGAGGGGGTGCTCCTTGAAGTGCCCCAATGTTATATCCAAATGAGTTATCCACATGGCCAGAGAAAAACCACTGATGGACTTGAAAGAAGAGAATACCCATTGTATACCTTTAACCACAAATAGTGTTTGTTCCTGGTAAACACTCTTGCCTACTGGGAGGTCATCAGGAATGAACTAAGTTTTAAGTGGTTTAATGTAAATATTTAAAACGTACTACCTATTATTTCTAGTCCTATTTTCTTCTTTTAAAAAAATACCAGAAGTCTCAAAAATTGCAAGTGGCCAGGTCCTTCTCAACTTCTGATAGGCCATGTTAGATCTCTTAAGGATAAGATTGATGATGAAAAGAATATAGCCATGAAAAGTGCAAAGCATGAGACTATGTCTATTTTTAAAGAATCCGATACCCAGGGCAGGAGGCAGAATCAGATGGCCTGGTTTACATCTTCACTCAATCACTTACTAGCTGTGTCACAGTGGAAACGTTATTTAGTTGCTCTGAGCTTCTCTTCTCTGTAAAGTGGAAATATGCTTCTACGTCGTAGGGCGTTACATGGGCTAAACGAAACGACCCGGGTAGAAAACCTCACACTGTAGGTCGGAGGCCAGTGAGTGCTGTGATTTGCTTGATTATATAAAAATAGGCAAGTGTCCCTGCAAAATGAAAATGCAACGTTACAAAGCTGAGGGGGTTTGCATCTGTTTAGCTGGAGTGCTTTATTTACCTCCTGACCACCGGGTGGAGACTTGAAGGAAGCGTCTTTCTGGAATGACTCAGGGTTTGGTGTCTCATTCCCACCAGGAGGCGAATCTGGCTGCAAACCACTTCACTGTGTGCCTACCAGGAGGAAACCACTTCTCTCCAGGCTCCAGTGTCCATTTCTGAAAAGAAGGGGGTTGGATTGGATCCAATGGATCCACAGAATAGCCATTAAGAGTGTGGACTTTGTGCTGGATGGCCCTGCTCCACACCCAGGCTCTGCCACGCACCAGCTGTGTGACCTTGGGCAAGCTACATAATCTCTCTGTATCTCAGTTTACCCTCTGTAAAATGGGGTTGGTGATCGATTCTGCCTTTTGGATTTGTTGTGAGGGATTAAATGAGTTAATATAGCTAAAGATTCAGAAAACTATCTGGCATGTAGCAAGAATTCGGTCAGGGTTAATACTGTTGTTGGTATTGCTATAGTTTTATTGTTGTTGTTAGATGTCCTCAATGATCCTGTCTAGCTCTGATATTCTCTGAGACTGCCTCAGTAGACCGAAGCCTGTTATGGCTCATCCGTTCCTGGAAAGTGGATTAGGGACTCCTCCCCAGCCTCCCCTTCCTGAGGGTCCAAAGGATCCCTTCCTATAGCCCCTCGGCCAGCTGAGCCTGCTGGATTAGGCCCTCCCAGATTAGGGATTGGCTCCTGGCTCGAGTCGCTCTGCCACTGAAAGCCAGCTTTGCCAGCATGAAATTGCCCTCGGGGTCTCCAAGGTCTTCTTTCCCATGGGGTCACGTGGGATTCATTACACTGCAGGTGGGATGAGAAAGACATGCACTGGATGGGAGATAGGGAGGAATCCTGGCCAGGCAGGCAGCTGCGGGGCAGAGTGGGTGGTTCAAGGGAGCAGGTGGACTGGAGGGCAGCCTTGACGGTGGCCAAGGAGGAAGGTGGGAAGCACAGGAGGGGTGTCATTTGTCCACTGGTCCTCCCAGCTCCATCTTCCTGGGCGGGGACTGTGGTTGAAATAGAATCTTATGCCCTAGCTCCAGGTCTAGAGAAGGCCCCTAGTCTCTGAAGCCGTCTCCACAGGGCTGCTCGTAGTCTGCCTTTCACAAAGACCCACTCTATTGGTGTTGTATGGTGTATGTGTCTATTTGTGTGTGAGCATATTTGGATGTCTTTGTTTAGAACCCTCCTCTGCAAACCCATCTACATGGACCCCGTTGGGTGTGAGAGAGGATACCCTCCATGACCCACTCGGCTGGGACAGAGCCAGTTTTACACCAAAACAGAGGCAATGGCCGCCTGTGAATGAATTTAAACTCTCCTGAGTCACATGGACTGCTTTTCAAGTCCACAGGACCTTCCCCTTTCAGTCACAGGACTGTAGAAGGTTCAAGTTGGCCAGGATCTCAGAGATCATCTCATCTGACCCATGCCATCAGGAGTTAGAGGGTCCCAAGAGAGGCCTTTAAGGGCCCTGAGCCTCTTGGAACCTGCATACGAAGTGTTTTGTTCTTGTGGGGACAGGAGAGCATTAATGAATTGTGACCCTATTCCTACCCAAAGTCACTGAGCCCTTTCCATAAGGCACTGAGGAACAATGAATAATGCACACAAATTCACTGCCCAGAGTTCTTTTGACGTGGATACTCCCCTAATCGAGGAAGTGAAGGTCCTGTCTCTGTCTCCCAAAGGAAAAGTCTATCAGGAGGTATAATAAGATTACACCCCGGGAAGTGGTGGTAAATGGCTGGAGATCCAGACATAGCTAAATATTATTGGGCATTACGTTTACTAGAGGATAAAGCGGGAGAGTGGTAAAAACTGTGTAACTCATCTCAGCTCCTTGGAGTCCTGAAATTTCCATTTTATTGCAGTAAGAGGGATCCAAGCATGACACAGTGCAGAAAGGAGTGGGCTCCCTCATGTGGGCTGCTGTCAACACATGGAAAATGGGTGGGCGCAGTGATTGACACCTACCATCCCGCCACTTTGGAAGGCTGACAGGAGAGAATCACTTGAGCCCAGGAGTTCGAGACCAGCCTGGGTAGCATGGCAAGATCTCGTCTCTGTTTAGAAAGCAGCAACAACACGAAAAATGGAGGCCGGGAAGCAGGCCGCACCTTGACTCACGCATCTGCAGGCTATCCCCAGGCCTCGGGGAAGAGCGCACGAGGTATCTAGGGGGCAACAGAGGGACCTGAAGTGCTGAAGGGCTCTGATTTGAGCCATGTTCACAGCCTCCTCCTTCCCTGTCCTGGGATAATGCAGCATTGTGGCTCAGGGCCCCACCATGAGAAAGAATACCCTGGGGTGTTCTCCTGGGACTGCCCTCCTGGGAGGTAGACTCCCGCCTTTCACTTCCTCCTTCCTCCAATCCTTTCCATCTCTGCAGCCAGAATGAGGTTTTTAAAATGCAGATTGGATCCTGTCAGCCCTCCAGTTTAAACAAACCTCAGTTGCCCTTACAATAGAGATCAAAACTCTTCAATGGCCCCCAAAGCCTACCTGTCCAAGCTCAACTCTCACCATCCCTCTTTCCCTTGCTTTCCAAGGTCCAGCTCTTTCCCTTGCTCTCCATTGTCTCCTTCAGAGCACCCATGGCGGTTTCCAGTTAGATATTTATTTACTTACTTATTTATCTGAGACGGAGCCTTGCTCTGTTACCCAGGTTGGAGTGCAGTGGTGTGATCTCGGCTCACTGCAACCTCTGCCTCCCAGGTTCAAGCGATTCTCCTGCCTCAGGCTCCTGAGTAACTGAGAGTATAGGCACCCGCCACTGAGCCTGGCTAATTTTCATATTTTTAGTAGAGATGGGGTTTCACCATCTTGGCCAGGCTGGTCTTGAACTGCTGACCTTGTGATCCACCCGCCTCGGCCTCCCAAAGTGCTGTGATTACAGGTGTGAGCCACCGTGCCTGGCCTCTAATTAGATATTTAACATCTGCCTGCCCCATTAGACTGCAAGCTTCATGATGGGAGGGCCCTGTCATTTGCTTACCTTTGTATTCCCAGGGCTAAACACAGTGCCAGAGCCAGGGCTCAACCCCAAGTAGGTGTTCAACACGTTTGTTGAACAAATGAAAGATCCGCCCTGACACTCAGAAACACACAGGGAGGGCACACAAATGCATGTGTGTGTATACACACACTTGAACGTAAGAGGTCACACACCTCCCCTCCCAGAGCACATGCCGAGGTAGCTCCTGTAGAAATCCGCAAGGTGCTGATGAATGCATGTAAACATTCACTGTCCTCCCCGGGAAGCAAACATTCACCCCATTTCCTTTCTATTTCACCCGACCCCTCCTCGATCAAGCCTTGCTTATGAGTGGCAACAAAGCAGTTTTCTTTTCTTAAGGAGAGAGAAGGTGGCTCTTTCAAAGCACATCAGGTGGCCTTATCTCCTGGGCCTCACCTGCCCTCCACTCTCCTTAAGAAAATCAGTTACCAGCTGTTGTATTTCTAATTTCCACTTGCCATCCATCTGCCCAGCCAAAAACCCAACCATCTGTCCTGCCAACTTTGGCCCCCAACCCTGCTGGTCAGGTCACCCCTTCTATTCCTTGAAAAGCTCCTCAGCAAGCTCACCTTCTCCAGCAGGCCTCCTGACTGCACAATTCCCAGGGGCTCCTGCTTCCTGAGCACCTTCCCTGCCCCTCTCAGAAGACTCTGTGCCTGTGACTCCATTAGTGGCTGCCTTCCCTCCCACTCCCAAGGTTTGCTGCCTCTTTGGTGCCACTTTGAGGTGTGATTCCCAAGAGGCTGGTGACTTTATGTATCTGTGTGAGTTATGATGTCAAAGATCACAAGGGACCAGCTTAGCTGAAAAGTTAAGGGTTTGGGTGATGAAAATGTCCTCGCTTAAAAGGGTCAGATAAACGAGGCATCATGGAGCAAATTTACACTAAGCCAGTCTGGTTAAGAGCTTAAAGCTCTGCAAAGTGGGGAGTTGGATGGACTGATGTCACAGGACCCTTCCATCTCTGACCTCCCCTGAGCTAGAGCGTTAGCCCTGGGGGGCCTTGCCCTGCCAAGCCTGGACTGGAGGAGGAGGAGGCGGGGTGAGTGGGAGGGGCAGAGGGAGCAGAGGCGCCTGCAGCAACCAACACCTGCTCCAGCCCTCCCTGTCCACCAGCAGTCGATCCAGAGCCTCCAGCAAGCAGCAGCTGCACACAGTGAAGAGGGAGCAGACAGGAAGCAGGAGGCCAGCTGCACGCCCAGGTAAGTGGGCACTCACACCTGGCTGCCTACCCAGGTCAGGGTAGGGCCAGGATGGAGACACTAGCCTGCTGTCCAGCTTTCCTATGCAGGAAGGGGCAAGCAGTGGGCAGGACATCTGCTTGGGGAGCATTGCCTGGCTGGGCAATCACACGCTGGGGTGCATCTGTATCCCCTCTCGGTGACTCGTTATCTGGAGAAGAGAATTTCAGTGAGTCTGTCTGGGTGGTTCTGTCCTGGCTCTAATTTTCTGGACACAGCTTGACTTTGGGTGTGATATGATGACCAGATTAAAAGTACCACTAGCAGTGCAGAATAAGGACCTTGGGCTGAGACTTGTTATATTTTGGTTAATAATATGGTCGAAGAAGTGGAGAGAAACCCGTTTGGCTCTTCCTGCCACAGTTTCTACCAGTTGAGAAGTAGCAGGGACCACCTGGAGGTAGCAGGGGCCTGGATCTGCAGGATGGATCTGGGGAGGGTGGGGTGCCATGGGTCCTGGAGAGGGGCCAGGGAGACACTGCCCTGGGGTTCCAGTGCTGAGAGTGTTGTTGGGACAGCTGAAGTGAGGACACAAGCTGCTATTTGCTTCTGGAAAGAACTGGAATTCTTCTTGAATGTGGGAATGAATTACGGAGGAGAGAGTTCATTTCCTTTCTCATCCCTTCCAGCCGAGACCAAATCCCTCTAGTCTCCCACCCAATAGCTCTCTTCCCCTATGTCACTGAAAACCAAATCTGGCTTATTCTAGAAGAGAGCGGAGCTCCAGAAGTGGATGGTTTAACGTCGCACCCCTGAGTCCCCCCAAGGGCTCTGCTCCTCTTGCCCTCCTCCGCTGGGAGCTGTAGGCGGAAGGCTGGAGGGAGAAGAGTGGTATTATTGTCATTTCTTCGTGTGTGACCAATAGCTGAGTAACGGACTGATAGCTGCTGGTGGTGATGATGTGCGTGGCGATGGGGATGATGACTCAGATAGCTGTGTGGGACTCCGACTACTCCAGTGTGGGGTTACCAACTATGCCAGTGCATTTGCATCTACTGGGAGGCTGCACTGAGGGGTGGCTGGGACAGAGGCCATGGTCAGCTGGGTCCCCGTCCGTTGGTGGCTGCCCCCCATCCGCTGGTGGCTGCCTTCCCTCCCGCCCTTCCTCGTGACTCCCTTCGGTGCAGTGCCTGCGGCACCTGTGACCGCTCCAGAACGCAGTTGGCGTACCATGGCATTCCAGCACACTAGGGTGCAGCGTCTGGGCTGGTGAGGGGCTGCCAGGGGCCAGAAATGCCAGTGGGTGGGCAGTTGCGAAATGGAACAATCTCCATGGGAGAGAGCAATCTGCTCTGTCATGTGTGATTCTATATTAACTGCAGGACTCTTTGGGCAGAAAATGGAGTCCCCAAAATGGAACCGCTTGGCCATGGGCCAATCGCACAAAGAGTGGGACTGCTGGCGAATTCTTTCAAGTCGTCCCCCCAACCCCCATTTATGGCATTCATCCCATCCCAGAGCCAACCCCCTTCCTCTCCTGTGTGGGACTCCCCATTGGTCATAACAGATGGATGCAATTAAGAGGAAATCGGGAGAGATGGCGGTGGTGAGAGAATGGAAAATACTCCTGTTCACCTGACACTATAATTCACTGGCTTCAGAGAGGGGCCGATGGATTTATGGGGATCCTACTGTCCTGGGCCAAGAAGAGCTTAAGAGCAGCAAAGTTGAGGACTCTCCCCTACAGACCTTATGACCGGAAGGATTCCAGATTGGTGGAGCGTGGGAGGTAGAGGGCTTCAGGGTCCCGCCAGAAAAATCTCAGAGCTGGGGAAGGAGCCAGGAGACCCAAAGAATGTCCTTGGAGAATTCTTATTCCAAAGTCAATGGGGCAAGCTGTTACACAGCTGGAAAGATCCTGAATGAGTCTGATTTCCTCTGGTTTGGGCTGGCTGTGTCTCACTCTCTGAACAGGACCATCACAGTGTACAGGCTCAGCCCATGGTTCCCTTTACCTGGGGATGTTACCAACTGGGTAGCATCCTACCCTCCCTGACCTCTGAGAAATTGGTTTTGCTGGGGACAGGGAATTGCAGGAAACTTCAGTGGCCTTCGTGGGTTAGAAAAGCTCTCGGGGCAGCCGCTTTTCTAAGCTCCCACCCCACACATTGGCTGATGCACTGATGGTGTGGGGGGTGGGGTGAGACCAGCCTGAATCTCTCAAAAGCAATTCCACTTCTGTTCTCAGGAAAATAGAACTTCTGCCCTCAGAGGAGTCAAAGAAGAAGCAGAACTATGGCAGGTGAGAGAAGAACAAACCTCCCCTCCCCAGCCCTTCCTGGAGATCTTTACCAGGACAGAGAATAGAGAAGTGGTAGGGATCAGAGATTTCTGGGAACTCACCCATCTCGTTTTGCTTGTTTGTTTGCTTGTTTTGAGACAGAGTCTCACTCTTGTTGCCCAGGCTGGAGTGCAGTGGTGCGATCTCAGCTCACTGCAACCTCTGCTTCTTGGGTTCAAGTGATTCTCCTGCCTTAGCCTCCCTAGTAGCTGGGATTACAGGCTCATGCCACCACACCCGGCTAATTTTTGTATTTTTAGTAGAGACCGAGTTTCGCCATGTTGTCCAGGCTGGTCTCGAACTCCTGACCTCAGGTGATCCACCCGCCTCAGCCTCCCAAAGTGCTGGGATTACAGATGTGAGCCACGATGGTAGGCCTTTTTTTTTTTTTTTTTTTTTAGAGTCTTGGCTTTGGGTTTTGATTTGTTTTCCTGAATAAGGGGTAAAGAGCCCCCACATGAGCTCCTGCTTCCTGAGAAGGAATCCTTTCCCATTCTCTTTTCCCAGCTTTTCCCCAGAGACACACTCAGGGTCTTCCCCAGGTGCCCTACCCACTCATAGAGGCTCCATTCACACCGCTAGAGGGGGCTTCTTGCTCCTTGGGTGAGTGGGTGAATGCCCATTCTGTGGAAGGGCCACCCAACAGGGAGGAGGCGGAAGGCCCATCTCCCTCTCTCCTGCGTTCTCCAGGAAAGCTCCGGAAGTCCCACATCCCTGGGGTGAGCATCTGGCAGCTGGTGGAGGAGATCCCCGAAGGCTACAGCACGCCGGACTTTGAGCAGAAGCCGGTCACCTTGGCTCTGCCAGAGGGTGAGAGCCCAGAGGGGAGGATAGAGGGGAGGCAAGATTCCTGCTCCCCTACCTCCCTGGGCACCCAGGCCTTAATCCATCACCAGGCCGTAGCCCATCTCCCTCCTATCCTTGAGGGGGCACGCACTTGCCTGGAACCCTAGAAGTGACAAGGGGCCTGGGGAAAAGAGTGGGTAAAGAGAACGAAGAGACACGATGCTATTCTGGTGTGAGAAATATCTGGGAGGCAAGGATGGAAAATGCTAAACTGGGGAGCAGGGAGAGGCTGTGGGGTTCCCTGGTCCCTCCTTCCTTGCTTCAAAGCCACTGCTGCAGAGAGGCACTGTTAAAACAGGTAATCTGACTCCTCCCAACCCTCGCCTCCCGCAGCAGCTCCCACAGTGGCTCACAGGCTGGGCTCAGGAAGGCCCTTCGAGAAGGCCACATAAGGAAGTGTCTGGGAAAGCGGTGGGAACAAAGGCTTGTTGGGGGAAAAGTGGGAATGGGTGTTCTTTCCCCAACATAAATCTGTGCAATAAATTTTAATTCATAACACTCTGGAAATAAGAAAAAGAATGGTATTTTATTTTTCTAACTCTGGAACAAGGCAATGAGAAATTGGGAAGGGCCCTTGGACCTTTGGTCTATATTGCATGCTCCTGGTGGGAGGCCGAGGGATGCCTTGAGGGTGAGCAGCTCCCAGGCCTCCATGCCGGGCATGGAGCTTGAAGTCTTTTCTGAGGCTGGAACCTGTGTCTCAGGACCAGGTCCTTTGGGCACCAAATAGCCATTCCTGCCCATGGTTGTGATTCCTCCTTCCCCTAGAGAGTAGGAAGGGAACCCACAAAATATCTCTCTCTCTCTCTCTTTTTGAGATGGAGTCTCGCTCTGTTGCCCAGGCTGCAGTGCAGTGGCACGATCTCCGCTCACCACAACCTCTGCCTCCTGGGTTCAAGCGATTCTCCTGTCTCAACCTCCTGAGAAACTGGTACTACAGGCAATGCTACCACTCCTGGCTAATTTTTTAATTTTTAGTAGAGACAGGGTTTCACTGTGTTGGCCAGACTGGTCTCGAACTCCTGACCAGTGATCCGCCCACCTCAGCCTCCCAAAGTGCTAGCTCCTGGGCTCGGCTGGAACTCACAAAAGCTCATTCCTTTTCCAGTCTTGGCAGAGCCTTCAGATTCCTTGCTCATTCACTCTCAAAGAAAAGCCCCTCTCCCCCAAAGCCCTGCTGGCCTTTCCTTCCACCAGGGCCAGTCCAGCTGCCTCTTTCCCTCAAGCAGCCTGAGCTTCCGCAATGCAGAAAGAGGAAAGATGCCCTCTGGATGCCTGGAATCTGCTGCTTTCCACCTGCGTGTTCTGAGTCCTGAGTCAAGGGGACCAAGGCCTGGCACCCTTTTTGGAAGGGGTAGCTGAAATACCTAGAAGAGGAATATGATATAAATTAGAATTTAAATAAAGAACACAGTCACCTTCTCCCAACTTGTCAGCCTCCCTGTCTGTCTCCTCCTGCTGCAGGGAAGAATGCTGTCTTTCGGGCTCTGGTCTGCGGGGAGCCCAGGCCCGAGGTGCGCTGGCAGAACTCCAAAGGTGACCTCAGTAACTCCAGCAAGTACAAGATCTCCTCCAGCCCGGACAGCAAGGAGCACGTGCTGCAGGTGAGAACCACAGCTCTTCCCCCCACCAGGGTCTACTCATCTCTTCCCATCCCCTGGGAGGTCTCTTCGTCAGCCTCCAATCCCTGCAGGAGTAAGACACACTCCTCATTGGAGTCGAATCCATTCAACTTCATCTTGTGACTCAAAGTTGCCTGAGCCAAGAATGGATCTGGCAGACTCGCAGATGTCTCTGCTGATCACCTGGGAGGTGGCGTAGACAGGCACGTAGCAGCTCAAACTCCGAAGTCAGACTGCCTGGGTTACAGTCCCAGGCCCACCACCTTGGCTTTGGAAAGTCACTTTCCTCTTTCTACCTCTGTCTCCTCATTTGTAAAAATGGGGCAATAATAGTGCCTACTTTAAGGAGCTGTTATAAGGTGTAGTTCAGACAGATCTTGCTCTGTCACCCAGGCTGGAGTGCAGTGGCACAATCTTGGCTCAATGCGACCTGCACCTTCCAGGTTCAAGTGATTCTCCTGCCTTGGCCTGCTGAGTAGCTAGATTTATAAGCATGCACCATCACGCCAGGCTAAGTTTTGTATTTTCAGTAGAGACGGGGTTTCACCATGTTAGGCAGGCTGGTCTTGAACTCCTAACCGCAGGTGATCCATCTGCCTCGGCCTTCTAAAGTGCTGGGATTACCGACGTGAGCCACTGTGCCTGGCCGGGAGTTGTTACGAGGACGGAAGTTTTATGACAAGTGTTCGCCATCAATCTTGGCCAATCTTAGCAATGTTATAAACACTAACCGTGGGATACCTACTGTATGCCAGGCCCGGGGCTAGACGTTCGACATAGGTTATATATTTAATTCTAATCATTCACCACTTTTTTGAGGTATGATATTCCCATCTTATAAACGAAGAAACTAAAATTTAGAGAAGTTAGGTAACTTTCCCAAAGTCCCACAGCTAGTCATACAGGACAGAGACTATTTTCCATCCCAGATCCATCTGACCCAGAAAATACACTCTTTCTACTTGCTACACTGCCTCTGATGGCAAAGAGTTGGTACATCCACCCGCTGTCCCGAACCTGGCCTTTGTTCTGGGGTCTCCCTTTCCTGATAAAGATTGTGAGCTCCCTGAGGATAAGGACCATGTCTTACTCACTTTATACCTCAACACATAGCCGTGTCTAGTAAACAGAGGAAGGGTACATGGTAGCCCCGTCCCTCTGCCCTTGGCCTCTCTGCAGATCAACAAGCTGACGGGCAAGGACACAGATCTGTACCGCTGCACAGCAGTGAATGTGTACGGAGAGGCTGCGTGCTCAGCAAGACTCACCGTCATTGAAGGTGGGCTTTTCCCTGAGCTCGTCTCATCAGTGCACGGGGCAGAGGGCCTGCAGAAGAACCAGAGGCCCCGTGGCTGGTGAGGGAGGGGAGGGGAGGGCAGGGGAGGCCCACGGAAGCTGCTGCGGCTGCCGCCGCCCCATTTTGTGCTGGGCTCCCGGCTTTATCCATGTGCACACGGAGTCTGCTTGTGTTTTAAAAGCCGCACCTTGGCTGATTCTCTGAAGGACATTCTCTTGGCCCAGTCAATAGGCAGGACCTGAAAGCTGCTTCTAGTCCAGAGCTTCTGCTGACTCATTCAATGGGCTTTGTTTTCCTCTCGGGGTCTTGGTTTCTCCCCTGTGCAAAGGATCTTTCGGACAGACCATACCAGAGGTGACAAACAGGTCACACAAAAGCCAAACTCTCTCTCAGACATGGTTTTTTTTTTGGCATGCATCATGTTTGAAATTTTTTAAATTGTCAGCCTGTAGTAATTAAAAGATAGGTATCTCTTGAGGAAGCAGGTCTAGTCTCACCGTTGGTTATGCTTACAATTGATCTGCCTACAAGTAGCAGAAAATCCTATTCAGAGTAGCCTAAGAAATAAAGATATTTCATCTCTCACGTACTAAGAAGTTCTAAGAGTGGCATCCAGGGCTCACAGCACAGCTCAGGGCTGCCATGGGAGAGCTGATTCTTTCCTTAACAGGCTGGCTCATCACCTCATCACCGTAAGAGGGCTGTGGTAGATCCAACTTGATCCATGTTCAAGGTACGACGGTGGCAGAGGTGGCCCAGGTCCACTTGCCTCCCTTAATTTTTTTTTTTTTTTTCGAGATGGAGTCTCACTCCATCACACAGGCAGGAGTGCAGTGGCATGATCTCTGCTCACTGCAACCTGTGCCTCCCAGGTGTAAGGGATTCTCCTCCCTCAGCCTCCTGAGTAGCTGGGATTACAGGTATGCACAACCACCCCTGGCTAATTTTCATATTTTTAGTCGAGACAGGGTTTCACCATGTTGGCCAGGCTGGTCTCGAACTCCTGACCTCAGGTGATCCACCCTCCTAACCCTCCCAAAGTGCTGGGATTACAGGCGTGAGCCACTGTGCCCAGACTTTTATTTTTTATTTTTTGAGACCTGTTGCCCAGGCTGGAGTGCAGTGGCGTGATTACAGCTCACTGCAGCCTTGAGGTTCAAGTGATCCTTCCACCTCAGCCTCCCAAGTAGCTGGGACCAAATGTATGCGTCATCACACCCAGCTAATTATTATTATTTTTTTTTTTGTAGAGGCCAGGTCTCCCTTTGTTGCCCAGTCTGGTCTGGAACTCCTGGGCTCAAGCTATCCTCCCACCTTGGCCTCCCAAAGTGCTGGGATTACAGGTGTGAGCCACCACGGCCAGCCCATCCACCCTTTTTATAGAGGAAACAAAAGCTTTCTTAGAAATTCCTGGAGTTCATTGGTCAGAACGATGTCACGTGAGCACTGCTAGTTGCGAGGGAAGCTGGGAAGGTGAGTGTTTAGCTTTTTCTGCCTTTCTAGTGGAAGCAGATGATGAGGATTACAAATGGCTGCAGGATCAGCCAAACACCAGTGTCTGACCTATACCCTGAAATTGCAGCTCTCAGGTGGAATGAAAGAGCAACTGCCCTTTCAGATACTCTTGAGTTTCTTATGGTTGCCAGTGTCTGCTTCACGCGTTTATGCCACCTCCCTGGCCCCTGTGGACACATGACTGGTCCTCCCCGGCATGAGATGAGGCTCAGGTTGGTCCCCTTGGTCATGGTAACACTCTGGGGTCAAAAAGCTTCTGATGGACAGGCCCTCCACCCTGCTCCATCCCTCTTGCTGGGATCGTTCATGCCTTAGAGGACCATGGGGAGAGCAGGGCTCTGGGATCCGTCAGTTCCTCAGGAAGACCATCAACGTGTCTCTCTTCTCTCCCTGCTTGTCCACATCAACTCCTTCCTCTCCGCCCTGGATGATCCAGTTGGCTTTAGGAAGAATCGGAAGAGGCAAAAGGAACCGCAGGAAGGTAGGTAGACTTGTCAGAAACCTCCTTGGGGCCTGTGGGGGAGGCTACTCCTTTCCTGGTGTTCCCTGCCTGGTCAAGCCACCATGCACACCTTGTGGGTCACTGCCAGTCTTCAGGGGAGCCCCTTCCAAAGGCTCGGATGGCAGCATGGACCACACAGAAAAGCCCTGAATTGACCCTCAGGCATCACATCTGGGACTGGGGTCTCATTCCTGCTCCTTTTCCAGACCTCAGGAAGGAGCTGATGGACTTCCGGAAGTTGCTGAAAAAGAGGTGGGTTTGGGCCTGTCCATGAGGGACTTTGGAGCCTCCCATAGCATTCACTCTCTGCTATTCCATAAGTAAGCTGGCTCAGGCCCCACCTCCAACTGAGACAGCAGGGAGCTGGACTGCCGGTAGCAGATGGGAGGGTGGGAAGGATGCTGAACTGGGCATTCTGGCTCCAGCTCTCCCGCTTCAGAGCTCTGCATCCTTGAGTTAATCATCTCTCCTCTGATTCCTCCTTTGCAAAATGTGGTGGTCCGCTGGAACACTGATGTCACTTTTTAAAAAAAAGCAATGGAACAATGCAACACCCACTTTCCCGCAGACATCTTACATAGAAATCTACAAGTTGTTAGCAGCAGTTTCTCCTGAAGGCTGAAGCTGTGGGGTGAGGCTCACCCCGCCCATCTCTGAATCCTTCTGGCCCCCACAGTGGTCAGTCCCAGAGATTCCAGGCTCTGTGCTTCCTCAAGTGCAGATAGAGCAGCTTCCCAGGACTGCTTGGGGCGCCAGAGCCAGGTGGCCCACAGGGGAACCGGGGTTCCTCTGACCTCTGACCTGCCGGCCTTGCTCTCCAGGGCCCCACCAGCCCCCGAGAAGAAGATCGACCTTGGGCAGGTGTGGCAGCTGCTGATGACGGCAGACAGGAAGGACTACGAGCAGATCTGCATGAAGTATGGCATCGTCGACTACCGGGGCATGCTGCGCAGGCTGCAGGAGATGAAGAAGGAGCAGGAGGACAAGATGGCACAGGTGCCTCACCCCATGCCCACCCCTCACTGCATGCCCACCCCACACACCTGGACCACAGTGCCGCACCCACGCCCACCCCTCACCACATGCCCAGACCACACACCTGGACCTCAGTGCCTCACCCCACACCCACCTCTCACCACATGCCCACGCAACACAGCTGGACCACAGGTGCCTCACATCTGGAGGTGGGCTTGGAGGCAGACCTTAGAAAACCAAGTATGGTCGAGGGGCCTGTCTCCATCTAGCCCCCAGTGGGGTATCTGGCTAAGGTCCTGGGATCCCAGGTTGGTGCCCTGCCTTTGCAACCTGGTTCTGATACTTACAAAACTCTGGAGCTTTGGAAGAGTTAGGGCCTCTGTTTCTTGGTTTCGCCATCTGAAAATGGAAATTATAGTCATGCCTACCTCATAGGGTTATTGGGAGGATAAATGAAAGAATGTACTTAAAGTACTTAGCCTAGTGCCTGATACATGGCAAGGGGTTGATGTTTGATGTCATTATCATCGTCGCCAGAGCAGGGGGTACCTGGTTTATTTCTAAAGGCTTCTACGGAAGGGAATTTCACAGTTCCCATTAGCACTCTGATCCCAGAATCTTATCAACTGTACCAGGAAGTTCTTCCTGTGTCTAACTTAATTATAGCGTAAGTCTAATTTTTCTTCTGAAAATGGAAAACAACTAGTTTTTATTATCCTGAAAATAGTACCTTATCCCCTCGAAGGGTAAGTTTTCTTAAACCTAACACCCAGAGTCTCAGCTTTCTCTCCTCCAAGGTTTCTCATTGTCTTTAACACACAACCCAGCACAGAGCTTTGTACACAGTAGGTGTTCAACTAATGTTTGTTAGAAGAACAGATGAATAGAAAAGCCCTACTGTGTTCTGGCACCTGGACACCTGGGGTCTTTTCTTGGTTGTCCTCGTGATCTGATCTCTCAACTTCCTTCCTTGAGGGGCTTGCTTCTCCCCACTTGTGAAAGGGGCCAGTGCATGCTCACCTGGGATGCTGTGGGCCTAGGGTGGTACCAGGGCCTATGAGCGTTTTGAGTACCCCAAAGAGAGGACTCCAGGAAATCTCCTGGGGGGTTTGTCTGCTCTGCAGTACATCAATGCCATCGCCAACTTGAGACACATCAGGGTCACCAAGGAGGGAATTGCAAAATTTGACCTGGAGCTGGATCTCAAGGATTCTCAGAGCAAGATTTACCTGTATAAGGTGAGGCTGGAGGGGCTATGGGTGGGGAGATCTGGCAGGGCTGCTGTAGGTCTAGTGAGGTGGGAATGATGGGTACCCTGGATTCCCCCATGGGAACAACCGGAGCACACAAGTGGTGAGCCCCTCAGCCCATGGAGTTCCTGGTTGGAGTTGGGCCAAACCCTGGTGTAGACTGTCCATCCACAGGGACTTCACATCTCACACTGAGCAACCAGGCTCTCCAGCTGGGCCCGTGACTCTCTGTATATTGCGGCTAACGGCCAGAGCACAGGGGCAAAAAGAGGGTTCTGAGAAAGTGCACCCCTTTCCGTCTGAGCTTTCTTTCCGGAGACTTAACACATCCCTACCTGGGCTCTGGGAGTAATTACCTGCCAACCAGATGGGGGCAGAAGCAGGTGGGGAGCAGATGGTAAAATTTGGCTAGTTCCGTAGCCAAACTCATCCAGCTCCATCACTTACAAGCTGTGTGACTTCGGACAAGATACTTATCTCCCCATGCCTCGGTTTCCTCACTTGTGAACTGGGGGTCATAGAGGACCTGCCTCACGGTGTACTGCAGTGCTAAATGACATCATGTGTGACTTGCCCCTCCCCCACCTCTCTGCTCATTCCAGCTTCTCTTTCCCTTGTCCCTTTGTTCCAGCCCCACTGGCCTCATCCCTGTTCCTTTGCCCCGCTATTCCCTCTGCTTAGCATGCTCATCCCCGATATCGACAGGACGAATTTCTTCATGGCAGAGAGACTTCCCATGGCCACTCCGTGTGATTCCACTATACCCCTCCAGCCCCATCCTGACACTCCAGAGCCCTGGACCCATATCTACCTTTTGGTTCCCTAGTTCTATTTCTTTCTAACATAACATATTTACTGACTTATGACATTTATTATTTATATTTTCCCCCCTAGGATTTTAGCTAGTGAGAGCAGGAATCTCTGTGGGCTTCTTGTTTGTTGTTTTTGTTTTGAGACAGAGTCTTGCTCTGTCACCAGGCTGGAGTGCAGTGGGGCAATCTCGGCTCACTGCAACCTCCGCTTCCCGGGTTCAAGCGATTCTCTTGCCTCAGCCTCCCGGGTAGCTGGGTACAGGCACACGTCACCACGCCCAGCTAATTTTTGTATTTCTAGTAGAGATGGGGTTTCACTATGTTGGCCAGGATGGTCTCGATCTCTCGACCTTGTGATCTGCCCATCTTTGTTTTATTCATTGATGTGTCCTAAGTACCTAAAACAGTGCCTGGCACACAGTGGGCCCCTCATAAGTATTAGCCATTGTTAATATTCAGCGAGTAGCAAACCTATCTAGGGCTTAGTTGAAGCAGGTATGCATATAGATTACTGGGTTTTGTAGAGCCTTACAGGTATCTGATGGTATTCTCTGAAAGTTCCTGTTGGTGAGTAAGTTGAGCTGGGGTACCTGGGCCATTGCTGTTGTGTCCTGCCTCTCTGCTATCCTCGCAGGGCCACTGAGCAGTAACTTCAGGTGCCCCTTTGCACAGCACGTGAAGAGTTTTCACTCCATGGACATTCCTAGAGCATGTATTCCCATCCAGCTCTCAATCCCTGTTCCCACGTCCTCCAGGCCCTGCTGTCTGCCACACCCCAGCTCCTCCATGACTTCAGGAATCTTTTGTCTGGTGACTGGACCAGGGGGAGAAAACTGCCAGTTATAACCAGAATGGGACTGGGGCAGGAAGCACTGGGGACCCACTGAGGACCCTCTTCCTTTTCTGGCCTTAGGACGGTGAGATGATCCCCTATGGCTTCAACGACCAGACCAAGCACAGTCTGCGCCGGCTGGGGAAGCGCTACCAATTCCAGATCCAGGACCTGCAGCCCGAGGACTCTGGCATCTACCAGGTGAAGGTGGAGGATGCTGTGGTCTTCTCCACAGAGCTGGAGGCCAGTGGTGAGTGGTCTATACTGCTGAAGTTGGAGTCGGGGAGATCTGTTAGAAGTGGAGCCCATGTTGGTGCAATGTGTGTGCTGGGGGGCAAATGTGACGTGGCACCTACTGCAAAGTGGGATGCATACCCAGATGGCTAAATTATGATGCTGTCTGTTTTCCAAAAGCCTCAGTGGACGTTCTTTCTTCTCCTGGTGCTGAGCTGGGCTCTACTGAATTACCATCACAGACACAGAGCATATGTGTCATGCCTCTACTCAGACCTTCTGCAGCCACCAAGTATTTTCAGATCCGATCCAGACGACTTGCAGAGGCTCTAGAACGCCTTTCTGTTACGTGTCTCGTCTCCACAATGCCCCAGCAAGAATCTCTGCTTAGGCATCCTCTTGCTCCATACAGACCTTTCCTTTCCTGCTTCCTGTATTCCTTCCCCTTCCAGGAACTGCCACCCCTCCCTCATCAAACTCAGTCCCAACCCCACGAGCACCTGCGTCCACATCACTGTCAGAGCACCTACCAGCTCAAGGGGGTTCTTGGAAGGACAAGGAGAGCCCCAGGGAAGCAGGCTTTGGGCAGATATGTTAATAAGAACATGGCTGAATCGAGGTTCGGGGAGAGAGAAAGGGGTGTTGTGTCCCAGCAGCAGGGAGGTGCCCAGAAGGGACTTTGGAAAGCCTGACAACTGTGCAGGTTGGGAAAAGGAGTATACCCTTGGGAGTCAACCAGACCTGGATGTGAATCTTGGTTTCCCTTAGCTGCATGAGACTGGGGCAAGTTATTTAACTTTTTAAGCCTCAGTTTTCTCACCTGTAAAAATAAATTAATAATACTCACCTTGGAGATGGTCACAAGGATTAATAAGATCAAGTACTGGCTCTTAGCTTAGTGGTTTCCTTCATGCACCCACCTTGTCCCCAGATACAGCTTTTGGGTTTAGAAGTATAGAATCCCAGAGCTGAAAATAGCCCCATTGCTCATAATGATAACCCCTCACTTTATGTGGGGGGGATTGACACCTGAGGTATGGAGGTGACCTGTCCAAGGTAGCACAGGGAGTTTGTGGCTGAGCTGGTCGAAGCCTGGATTTCTGAACTGCCAGCCTTGCTGCCTCAGGTCACGCTGTGTCATAGCATCAAGCTGACACCCCCATTCCTGCTTCCCCGGCAGCAATCCCCCCCAGAGTGGTGGTCCCACTGACCGAGACCCGCTGTGAGGAACAGGGTGATGCAGTCTTCGAGTGCACCCTCTCCAGCCCCTGCCCTAGTGCAGCCTGGCATTTCCGGCACCGGCTACTCCACCCCAGTGACAAATATGAAGTGCTTGTGTCACCTGACGGGCTGACCCACCAGCTGGTGGTGAGGGGGGCCCGTTTTTCAGACATGGGCCCCTACTCGCTGGGCACTGGGCTCCACACTTCCAGCGCCTGGCTGGTGGTTGAAGGTGAGTGCTTCACATCAGGGAAGACCTTGGAGCTGGGGAGGCATGAGGGAGGCGAGGCAGTGGGATTGCCTTTGGTCAGCTCCCTTGCACAGAGAGAATAAGGAAGGCTCCTTAGATTACTCTCCAGCCACTGCAGTGCAGACCATCATGGCCACATGTGCCTGCTCCACTGGGTCTCTTGGAATTACTCTGGGGCACAGATGGCTGTACGGTCCTAGGCAGCCTGGGGACAGTGGCCTAGGTTCGGTGTGGATGAGAACCCCCTGCACCAGACCAGAGAATACTCTGAAACCTCCCTGGGGATTGAAATTTGGGTTCAAGTTGTTCCCAGAAAAGTGTGAATTGGACATAAGTAAGGCAGGTAGTGGAGCAAGTAGATATTTTAAAAACCAGGCACCTGCTGCGGCAGTTTGATTACAAATGACTTCTGGCTTATGCATTTTCTCCGAAATCCTCGTGAACCCTGTAGCAGGTGGTCTGTGGGTATAGGAAGCGGGGAGGTGGTGATGGGATCCACCCATTCATCCCTGGAACAGCCTGGCTGCCTCCCCAGATGGTCAGCTTGCTTCTCTACTGGGGAAGCCCAGGTCAGGTGGGCAGCTGGGCTCAGGCAGGTGCTTTGACCAGATTTAACTGGAGTTTTGGTATTTTCTCTTGTCTCTCTATGTGGGCACTGACCTTCCACGTGAATAACCCCTCACTGAAGCTGGGAAGAATAAAGACCTTCAGTCCACAAGTGCTGACCACCAACTGCAGAAGCAAGGAGCCCAGGCCTCAGAAGCAGAAGACTCTGGGAGCACCAGCAGCCAGGGAGAGAAATTCAGAGAGCAGGGGCCCCCTAGGGGGAGCTCCCTTGATGGGGCTGGGCTGGCTTCCGGGTTCCAGCACATAGCCAGCCCAGACAGGGACGGCCTTGGCAGGCATGGCTACTCCTTGATGGGGGACAAAGGGGCAGCCAACTCATCCTGGGGCCCTGGACAGGAGGGCGAGGGCTTTCTAGAAGCAGAGACAAGCAGAGTCACTCTTCCTAGGGAAAATCAGCCCCACAGAGAGGGAGGCTGGGCTGGAAGCCTTGCAGGGGGGGTCCATCTACAGGTAGAGAGCTCAGAATCAGGGTTGGGCCTCCCAGAAAAACGACAGCAAGATGGTGGCAGAGATAGCAAGGGTGATGGATGCTGGAGGACAGCAGGAGGCTGGGAGGCTGGGTCCCGTCCGCTTCAGGCTGGAGGACTGGGGAGCAGCCGGGAAGGAAAGGAGCACGGAGGGGACAGTGGAGGACAACTGGACAGTCACGGCCAGGAGCAACTGTGGGATGCTCGACTGGGACCTGGGAGAGGAAAGAGGGACCTGCAGGGATGCCAGTCTGATCCTGTAGGGCCCTGGCCAAGAGGAAGGCAGGTGGGGAAGATTTCGCAGTGTGATAGCCTGGCTGAGACGGAGGGAGGGGATGCTTCGAGCAGGGAAGCCAGAAGAGGAGCTGTAGTGTGGGGTAGTGGGACTGGCCTGGGGGAAACTGGAGGCAGCAATGGGGCAGGAGGTCCTGGCACCCTGGAGTTTACTGGAGGGAGAGGTTCTGGCTCCAAGGCAGGCATGGGCCCTGAATCCTGGGGTTCCCGAGGAGGTACACTTACTGACTATGGGGATGCCAGGCGCTACTGGGGATCAGGAGAGTTTCTAGGACAGACACCTGGAGGCAAGGACTTCCAGGAACCATCAGTATCAGGTGGTAGAAAATTCCTTCTGGGAGATGGGAGTCCTGAGGCCAAAGCTGAAGACTCACTGCAGGAGGCAGATGGTCTATACCAGGGGGAGTCCATCTTTGGAGGAAGTGTCTACAAAACTGGCCCTGGAGGCCCAGGAGACCCCAGGGGCTGTGAAAGTGGCCTCCGGGGGCTCAGAGGAAGGGATGGCCAGGAAATAGCTTGGGCCTCAGGCGAGGTAGGAGATGAGCCCAGAAGCTTCCAGTCTTCCCAGGGCTGGACAGCAGGTCACAGAGCAGCAGGCAGTGCTGGCACAATAGACTCTAAGGGCACAAGTCCTTGGGATGACACGCCGTCTAGCATCGGAAAAACTGGGGTCCAAGGGCAAGAGGGTATGGGTGGTGTCTGGGTGGCTGGACTGACAGAGTCTGGTCAGGGGGTGGAGGCCAGAAGCCATGGGCTAAGTCGGTCTCCAGGCCTGGGTGCTCGGGGATCTGGGGGAACACTAGGAGATACAGAAGGATTCAGGGGTCCTGGGTCAATAGGGTCTGAACAAGATTTCTGGAATGGGTCAGGGAGCGCTGGAGTAAAAGGACCCAGAGGTGAGACAGGTTATAAGGATGGCTTGGAAGGTCCTGGGAGAATGGAATCTAGGTATAAGAGTGGCTTAGGATATTCTAGGGGAATAGGTTCTGAAAGCGGGGCTGGTTATAGCTATGGCTCAGGGGTGCCAGGAGAAATGGGATCCAGCCGTGGTGCTGGTTGTAGAGTGTCCCCTGGGGCACCTGTGGGAATGGAGTCTGAGGAAGGGGGTGCTTACAAGCATAGCTCCACAGTGCCCAGGGAAGTGTGGTCTGGAAACAAAGAAGATTCTGGCCCTGCAGGAGGAGGGCCTGGGAGAGTTGCCAGTCTTAAGAATGGCTCAGGTGGCCCTGATGGAACACCCATGGGTGGAGCCCAGAATTGGGCCTCTGCATGCCAGGGTGGCATGGGCCCTGGGGGAGGGCACCATTCAGATGGCCCCCTAGGGAGTCCTGGGATGGTGGGGTCTGTGGGTAGAGGTGGTCTCAAGGCCCCTGGAGCACTGGAGACTGTTGGGACTCGAAGTGTGGAAGCAGACCCAGGGAGCTCCGGAAGAATAAGGCCTTGGGGTCAGACTGGAAATTATGGGGGCTTCAGGGCCTCAGAGGACCTGGGGGCCTTTGGAGAAGGGGGCTATGAAGATGGCTCTGGGGGTCCAGGAGCCATGGAGCCGGGGTCTCTGAGGGCAGGAAGCAAAGTGGGTGAGGGGGATGGGACAAGATACCCTGGTGCCAGGGCCTCTGGAGCTGGAGCTACTTACAGGGACGATACCAGGGACCGTGAGGCACTCACGCCTCACATCGGGGCTGCTTCTGAGAGCCAGTGGGCTTATGGGGCTGGCAGTGTGCGGGGTGATGAGGATGGATCAGAACATCCAGGGGCTCAGGGAACTGGGGTCAGAGCAGCATATGGAGGAGGGTCAAGGGGCCTGGGGCCTAGAAATACAGGGCCAGGGGCTGAGGCAGGCTTTAGAGATGGTTCAGGGGGCGTCCAAGGAATGGGATCAGCAGGTGGGCCAGGTTGTAGGAAAGGTATTGGGAGTTCTGGGGAAATGGGGACAGTGGATAAGGAAGGTTATAGGAAAGATTTGGGGGCTCCTGAGAATATGGGTTCAGGGAGCAAGGCTGCTTATAGGGATGGTGTAGGGGGTTCTGGGGAAATGGGGTCAATGGATGAAGCAGATTATAGAAAAGATTTGGGGGTTCCTGAGGGAATGGGCACAGGTTATAGGGGTGGTTTAAGGGGTTCTGGGGAGATGGGGTCAGTGGATGAGTCATGTCATAGGAATGGGATTGGAGGTTATGGGGAAGTGGGGTCAGGCTATAGGGAGGATATGGGGGCTCCTGAGGGAATGGGCACAGGGAGCAAGACAGGTTACAGGGGGGGGTTAAGGGGTTCTGGGGAAATGAGGTCAATTGATGAGGCAGGCTATAGGAAGGATTTGGGGGTTTCTGAGGGAGTGGGTTCAGGGAGTAAGGCAGGTTTTAGGGATGGTTTAGGGGGCTCTGGGGAGATGGGGTCAGTGGATGAGGCACGTTATAGGAAGGATTTGGGGGTTTCTGAGACAGTGGGTTCAGGGAGCAAGGCAAGTTGTAGGGGTGGCTTAAGGGGCTCTGGGGAAATGGGGTCAGTGAATGAGGAAGGTTATAGGAAGGATCTGGGGGCTCCTGAGGGAATGGGTTCAGGTTACAGGGGTGGCTTAAGGAGTTCTGGGGAAATGGAGTCAGTGAATGAGGAAGGTTATAGGAAGGATCTGGGGGCTCCTGAGGGAATGGGCTCAGGGAGTAAGGCAGGTTTTAGGGATGGTTTAGGGGGCTCTGGGGAGATGGGGTCAGTGGATGAGGCAGGTTATAGGAAGGATTTGGGGGCTCCTGAGGGAATGGGTTCAGGGAGTTACACAGATTATAAGAATGGTGTAGGTGGTTCTGGAAAAATCAGTTCAGGAGGTGAGGCAGGTTATAGGAATGTTTTAGGGGGTTCTGGGAGGATTCCGTCAGGGAGTGAGGCAGGTTCTAGGCGAGGCTTTGGGGGAACTGATGGCATGGCATCAGGGCGTGAGGTCAGTTATAGGGGAGGCTCAGGAGGATCTGGGGAAATGGGGCCAGGGGGTGAGATGGGTTGTGGAGATGGCTCAGGGAGGCTTGGAATGCCAGGCTCACTGGCAGGAACAGGAAGTCAGGCTAGACCCAGAGGTCACGAAGCCATGGGGCACAGGTTAGGATATTGGGTAACATCAGAGGGTGGCACAATCTCCAAGGATGGTCCAGAGATAGCCAGAGGAACAGGGCTTGTGGATGGGGCAGGACCTGGGGTGGAGCCTATGGCTGGAATGGCGGGCGCTGCAAGTGGCACAGCACACAGAGACAGGGGCCTGGGGGTGCTGGGGTCTCAGGGAGGGCCACAGGCTCTTTCAGATGGGCGAGGCTCCACCAAGGGTCTTGGGGGCTACAGAACCTCAAGGATCCCTGAGGCTGAGAAGGCTGCTGATACCAAGGGAAAATCAGATGTCAAAGAGTGGCAAGATAGTTCTGGGACTCCAGCGTCTTCTAGAGACAAAGGGGCTCCCAGGGCGAAGGATAGATCTCTAGACCACACAGGGATTATAGGGGCTTCTGGGTTTCTTGATGGCAACGGGGCAGTGGAAGGTGAGACCTGGGCAGGAATGGCTGCTCTGGGGTCTGGATATGAACAGGACTTCTGGAAAGCAGGCCCAGGAATGACAGACAGGGGTAGAGTTGCTGGTTGGGGGGGATCAACATCTCAGGGAGATGGGGACTCACTTTTGGGAGGCAGAAGGATGGGAGCAGGCTCACAGAGCTCAGCAGGGACAGGCCAGGATCTGGACAGCAGCTCTATGCCTGGGGAAAGGGGCAAGACAACATCAGGGCCTGCTGACAGCCAACGGATGAGCAATGCCTGGGCTCCCGATTGGGAAGACCAGGGGTCGGGCCGAGGAAGCACAGGTGCTGGGAAGCAGCCAACAGGCTCCAGGGCTTCCGGTTCTCTGCAGGAGAAAGACGTTGCTTTTGGTAGGACCCAGGAAGGGCCAGGGGGCTTTAAGGGCAGGGAGGGTGCACCAGGCCAAGAGGTGGCTGGTGGATGCCAAAGCCCATGGTCCCCAGATAGCAAAAGTTCAAGTCCTGGAAGGGGCAGGTCTGGTGGCACAGAGGACTCAGGTATCCTGGGCAAAGGGAATTCTACTGAGTTGGGGAATGTCTTCACCCCAAAACCTGGGGAGTCAGGTCCTCAGGGAGCCTGGCATGGCTTAGATGGTCCCTTTGGCAGAAAAGCCTCTGGAGATGGGTCAGGAGGGACCCAGGGTCTGAGCTCTCAGCTAGGCAAGGGACAGAGAGGAGGAAAGAGGGGGCCCTTGGGGTCCCTGAAGGCTGAGAATGGTGAGGCCCAGGGTCCTGGGGCCCTAAAGGAGGATGAGAGGCAGGGAGCAGAAGAGGCTGGGAGGTCAGGCAGGAGGCCTGGCTCAGTCAGGGGCAGGTCTCAGGCACAGTCAGGGGCTGAGGTTGGAGGAACAAAGAGAAGGGGAGCAGACAGGGTCGGAAACAGGGGGCAGCCACCAGTTGGGGAGACCTGGGGCTGCCAAGATGAGAGGCTGAATGAAGACCAGAGCTGGGAGTCCCCCGGTCACCTTGGTAGCAAGGGAGGTGGCAAAGATGGCAGGTTGGACGTCTGTGGAGAGAAGAGAGATGCTACCCAGAGTTCCACATCCAGATGCAAGCCTGGCACTGGCAGGCTCTCCGAGGAGGCCCGAGGTAGGTGTTTCTCCACTGAGCCGGCTCCAGTGGGCTAGAGACAGGGGGGAGCTCCCTGACCACTAGGATGCTTGGGTCTGTCCCAATTCTGCCTCCGGCCCCAGGAGTCTGTTCCACTCTCAGGAACATTTTGCAAATTTAGGAAACAACCTTTTCCTCTTTGTGCAGATGGGATCCAGCCTGTGAGAGGCTCAGAGGTCTCCTAGGTTTCTACTCATGATACCTGATGTCCACAGCACCAGGGTTATGGACCCAACTCTCTGTGGGTTACCAGACTTCTCCCCTCTGTGACCTGGTGGACAGTGGGGGGGCTTCATATACCTTACTCCCCAGGTGTCCTGGACCAGCCTAGGTCCTGCTGAGAAAAGCAGCAATGCTTGGTCTCCTGTCTGGGAAGACCAAGGCATTGGCACCAAGGCAGCATAGGAACCACCCTGCTGACACCAGCTGAGCCCATTGGCAGGACCACGGTGGCCCTGCAGGGCAGAGTGCAGGCCATGGCCTGGGAGGCTCGGCCCTGAGGACTCCCTCTGTGTCCCTCCAGGCCCCATGAGCCACTTCTCCCAGGGCCTGGCTGACATGGAGGTGCAGCAGGGAGAGGCTACCACACTCTCCTGTACCCTCACCAGCGACCTGGGACCCGGCACCTGGTTTAAGGATGGAGTCAAGGTACTGCCTCCCTCACACCTTCTCTTTACAAGCTGGAGGGACAGAGGTAAAGCAGGGAAGAGGAGGCGGGTAGAGGCTTTGAAAGAAAGATTCTTTTCCTTCGTTTTACTAATGTATCCACCCTGAGAGACATTTCAATAGCTACTAACTTGGTGTGTTTAAAATAAAATTGGATTTTTAAATGATGTGTATCCTATGCCCCTCAGCGCACCCCTTGTTCTTCCACCATGCCAAATGCCTCTTCTATGCCTGCAGAGTCCTATCCATCCTTCAAGGCCTCATGCAAATGCCACCTTCTCATCCCAACCAGAGGGGAGCCCTCATCTCCCTGTACAACCCCTCTGTCCTGCATTACAGCTGACACCCCAAGAGAGACATTGCAGCGACTCAGGGCAGGGGCCTCGGTATCAGCTAGGTCTGGCTTCAGATCCCAGCTCTGCCACTACCAGTTATGGGACCTCAAGCAAGCAGCCAACATTCTGGCTCCCTCATCTATGAAGTGGGGCTAACAATAGTACTTCTTCGTCAGGTTGTGATGACAATTAGATGAGGTGCTGAGCACAGAGGGCGTTGGCATGCGGTAAACATTCCATTCACACAGCTGTTGTCAGGATCCCAGCATGAGTAAAGGGCTCTGCTCAGCTGGCGGAGCTGCAGTGGGGGTGGGGTGACCTTCTCCTGCTCTGGCCTGTCTCCAGCTCACCACCCAGGATGGAGTCATCTTTGAGGAAGACGGTCTTGTGCGCCGACTCTTCATCGCACATGCACAGGGGACCCAAGCCGGGAGGTACACCTTTGTAGCCGGCGACCAGCAGAGCGAGGCCACCCTGACTGTCCAGGGTAAGGCCCAGCCCTGCCCTGCCCTGCCCCACAGTCTTTGTACCAGGTGCTGTGCCTTGCTTTAAAACACCTGAACACGTGGCTAGTCTGCAGCAAGTATCTAATCTCATCCCCAGAGAAGATGACGGGAAAAGCCGATTCATACCCTGCCTGTTCCAGCATCTGAGCTCTTTCCTTGCCAGGAAGGCCTCGGTGAGGTCTAAGCCTGGTCTCTCCTGCTGCAGATGAAGCCTGTTCCCTTGTTAGTCCTCATGTGGCAGGGTACAGGGTTCCTTACTCTTAGTCCAAACTTCCTTCTCTGGGTCCTCCTTTCTGCATTCCCCAGGGCCCTGGTCTTCTTTGACTCTCTTGTTTTATTTCTAGATGCCCCCACTATTGCTCCAGATGTGACAGAGAAACTGAGAGAGCCACTGGTGGTCAAGGCTGGGAAGCTGGTGACAGTGAAGATCCCCTTCCAGAGCCACCTCCCCATTCAGGCTGCCTGGAGGAAGGACGGGGCCGAGGTGGTGGGCAGTGGTGAGAGGGAGGCCCAGGTGGACCTGGGGGATGGCTACTCACGGCTGTGCCTCCCCAGCGCAGGCAGGAAGGACTGTGGCCAGTACAGTGTGACGCTGAGGAGCAAGGGAGGCTCCGTGCAGGCTGAGTTCACCCTGCAAGTCATAGGTACCAGCCCCGTCTTTCCCCAGCCAAGACCTGAGTCCCCTCCCCATCAGCAAGCACAGGCCTGGGGTGTGATCTCTGCTGGCTCCGATCCTCACCTGCATCCAGACCTACCCCTAACTCTGCTCACACTGCTTAGGAAAAAGCAGTTGAGATCAACAACGTGCTGGGCTCCTGCTAGGGGCTGGAGCCTGTTGTGCCTCTCTGAGCCCAATACATGGGCCCTCAGGAAGTTGCTGGGTGGGATGATGGTCCCCAGCCCTGAGTGGCACCAGCAGGGTAGGACTGCTGTGAGCCAAGCAGCTGCCCATACCAGCCACTGGATGGTGGGCCTGGCACATTCCATGGCACACCCCTGGGTGCACGTGTGTGTTCCAGTGGAGACGAATGTCAAGCATGTGTGGCCCTCCGGGTAATGCCCAAGCCTCTCTGGACAGTCTGCCCCATTGCTGGCTTATCCACTGATGGCGTGGGGAGGGAACCAGCGCTGCTCCCCTCCAGCTTCTCTGACCCTCCCCTCTTCCTGCTCCTCTCTGTGGGTCCCCAGATAAGCCTGATCTCCCACAAGGCCCCCTGGAGGTTCAGGATTGCCACAAGGCTGGTGTCTGCCTTCGCTGGCGGCCCCCAAAGGATGATGGGGGCCGGCCTGTAGAGCGTTACGTGGTGGAGAGACAGCAGGCTGGCAGGAGCACTTGGCTGCAGGTGGGCCAGGCCCCCGCTGACAGCACCACCTTCACGGATGCCCACGTGGAGCCGGGCAGGAAGTACACCTTCCGAGTGCGGGCTGTGACCTCGGAGGGCGCTGGCGAGGCCCTGGAGTCCAAGGAGACATTGGTGGCTCCTGAGGGTGAGAGAAAAGGCTGGGGCTGGGGTTGGGGGACACTCCTGGGCTCCCCGCGATGCTGAGGTGGGCAGACTGCCCCAGAGGCTTAGTGACACCAGCCTGTGATGGGGCTCCAGAGGCCCTTCTGGAGCACTCTAGAGACTCCTTCCCTCAGCTGCATTTGGGATCTGGCACTCAGATCAGGAAGTGTTTTACAGTCTCTGGGAGTGAGGGTATGGGCCAGCAAAGCCCACTGTCTCTGGCCCAGGGAGAGAGGAGCATCCGCCTCCAACATCCTATCAGGGGACTGGAGGCTGAGGGGCCTCAGAGCCGGCTCCAGGCTCCGAGGCTACAGTGCCTTCTCTGTCCCTTCAGTCCTTCCTCTGAACAGCCAGAACACTGACCCAGGGCAGGCTGGCTCAGCCCCCACACTCCCCAGGACAGGGTGGAGTGTGGCCTGCCCCAGGTGCCCGTGCCTCCTACCCCAGGGGCTCCCCAGCAGCCGGCACCTTTCCCAGCCTCTGGCTGACGGGACCCCTTCCTGCCCCCAGCTCTCCCCAAGGCTCCTTCCGCACCAGCCATCCTGTCGGCCTCCAGCCAGGGCATTACACTAACATGGACGGCACCTCGGGGCCCTGGCAGCGCCCACATCCTGGGCTACCTGATCGAGAGGCGTAAGAAGGGCAGCAATACCTGGACAGCAGTGAACGACCAGCCTGTGCCTGGTGAGCATGGTCCTGGCTTCCAGAGCTTCCTTAGACCCCTCCTGGCTCCAGGATCCCAGGGAGTTGTCAGTTCCTATTGGTTTAATACAGTGGTTCTCATCTAGGGTAGTTTGGCAATGTCTGGAGACACTTTTCATTGTCACAACTGGGTGGAGAGTAGACGTCACTGGCCTCTAGTGCGAAGAGGTCGGGGATGCTGTTAAACACCCTACAGCGCCCAGGACAGAGCCCACGCCCGCCTCTCAAAACACCCAAAGAAGTATCTGGCAAAAAAAAAAAAAAAAAAATTGTCTATTGTGCTGAGGTCAAGAAGTCCTGATTCAGAAATCCTGGCTGGGAGTCAGAGATGAAGCTGTTAGCCCTGGCCCCTCTACTTCTGGCCTTGACCTTGGACAGTTCACTTCCTCTCTAGATTTTTTTTTTGAGACAGAGTCTCACTGTGTCACCCAGGCTGGAGTGCAGTGGTGTGATCTTGGCTCACTGCAGCCTCCACCTCCTGGGTTCAATTGATTCTCCTGCCTCAGCCTCCCGAGTAGCTGGGACTACAGGCCCGTGCCACCACACCCAGCTAATTTTTGTTCTTTGAGTAGAGATGAGGTTTCACCATGTTGGCCAGGCTGGTCTTGAACTCCTGACCTAAAGTGATCTACCCGTCTTGGCCTCCCAAAGTGTTGGGATTGTAGGCGTGAGCCACCATGCTGGGCCTAGATCTTAATTTCCACATCCATAAACTGGAGAGAAGGCCCCCTCTCCCCTCCCCACTAAGTAGTTTCCTGAGAAACAAACTGCATTCTGAGATCAGAAAGAACTTGGAAAAGCCAAAGGGCTGGGCAGATGCTGAGGGGTCTTCTGACAACCCTTGGCGAAATTTCTTTGCCCTGCATGCGTGCTGGGGAAGTCCAGGTTTGAGGAGGAAAGAATGGGCTCAGAACAGCTTCCCAGGAGACCTGGGTTCAGGTCATGGCTCTGCTACTTAGAAGCTAAGGCCTGTCAGGACTTCAGTTTCCTTATCTCTGGAGAGAGATGAACTAAAGGCATCCTTCCAATTTCACTATTTAGTGATTCTGCTTTATTTAAATATGACAGCAACTCTATAAGGCAGAGACAACCAGGGACATTAAGGCACTTGCCCAAGAACGCCCAGCAAGTCAGTGGTGGAACCAGATAGGGCTCCGGGGCCCCTGACGCTATGAGCAGTGCCCTTTCCACCTTGGAGAGAACTGAGTCGCAGCGGGTAGCGGGATGCAGGGAGGGATGTGTTAGAACCCAGGCTTGGTCTCCTTCAGAACTCGGAGGCACCCAAGCTTTCTCCCATGTCCAGCCCCATCAGGGTGGGACTCACATGGGTGGGCTGTTCACAGAGAGGAAGTGGACGGTGGTGGACGTGCGGCAGGGCTGTCAGTACGAGTTCCGGGTCACAGCTGTGGCTCCCTCCGGCCCCGGAGAGCCTGGGCCCCCATCAGATGCCGTCTTTGCTCGGGACCCCATGAGTAAGTAGAGCACCAACCCAGGATGCGGGTGGGGGTGAGCACGGGATAGCCCCAAAGCCAGGTGGGACACGACAGTAGGTCATAGGTCAGGGGCAGTCCTGAAGGAGATGGGCAGGAGGGCTGGGTATAAAAATCAAAAGGCTTCTCGGGTGAGGCATGTCTTAGGGGCCCTACATCAAGATCAAATAGGCCCAGGAGCCAGGCAGTGGGATGAGAAGATTCCTTCCCTGCCAGGTGTAATGGTTCACACCAGTAATCCTAGCTGGTTGGGAGGCAGAGGCAGGAGGATTGCTTGAGCCCGGGAGTTTGAGGCTGCAGTGAACTATGATTGCACCACTGCACTCCAGTCTGCACGACAGAGGAACAATCTTTCTCAAAAAAAAAGAAAAGAAAAAAAAGGAGAATCCTTTTCAAGATTGCTTCACTCACTCTTTGGCCTCTACACAGGCCAGCCCCCAAGCTGGCCCACATGCCCCAGTCCAATAAGCATCCACTCACCCCAGTGTGCCCCTCACGCAGGGAAGGGGGCAGGTAACAGGGGAAACTCAGCATCAATTCTCTAGCCAATGAATATTTGCCCATCACCTACTAAATGGCCAGCATTGTGCCAGGAAGTAGGGGAATCAATCCTGATCTCTGCCCTTGAGAAACATAGAGTCTGAGATAACATTTCGTTTCTGAGACCTGTGGTCTCAGGAACATCGAGTGTATCAAGAGATGCCAACAGACACTCTGAGAATGACAGGAACAGCAAAAATGTCTGTGATCAAAGATGTGTATGATGTAAGCCTATGTATTTACAAGTCCTGCCAGGGGAAAAAGCTGTCTAACCTTGATCCAAATCTAGCTTTTTCACAAAATACCTATGAAAAGCGTCACTCCAGGGCACACGGCTTAGAAAATGCTGTTCTGTATTTCTCCTCCCCTAATGAGCTTGCCTGCGTCGAGTCCTCTGGGGAGCAGCACATTTCCGGCACTTGCTGGATGGGGCAGGTGGTAACACCTGGAGAGCACTCTGTGCCCCACAGGGCCTAGCCCATTGCAGGTGTTCAGGCTGTTTGAATGAACCCAACAAGACCGGAACATCCTGTAAGTGTCATTGTTCAAGTGGTATCTGAGTTTCAGTCCTAGGAAGGGCAGGGTGTGGAATGGAGGGATGGGGGAAGAAAGCCAGCCCATGCAACTTACTCCTTGCAAATGGACCAAGCCTGGCATATCTTTTCTTTTCCCTCCCTCCCTTCCTCCCTCCCTCCCTCCTTCTCTCTCTCTTTCCTATCCTTCTTTCTCCCTTCCTTCCTTTCTGTCTTTCTCCTTTCTTCCTTCTTTTCTTCCTTTCCTTTCCTCTCCCTTTCATTTCTTCTTTCTTTCTTTTCTCTTTCTTTCTTTCCGTTTCTTTCTTTCTTTCTCTCTCTGTTTCTTTTTCTTTCTTTCTTTCTTTCTTTCTTTCTTTCTTTCTTTCTTTCTTTCTTTCTTTCTTTCTTTCTTTCTTTCTTTCTCTCCCTCCTTCTTTCCTTTTTGCCTTTCATTCCTTTCTCTTCTTTCTTTCCTTTCATTCCTTTCTTTTCTTTTCTTTCTTGGCAGGGTCTCACTCTTTCACCCAGGCTGGAGTGCAGTGATGCAATCTTGGTTCACTCCAGCCTCCAACACCTGGGCTCAAGCAATCCTCCTGCCTCAGCCTCCTGAGCAGCTGGGACTATAAGCTTATGTCACCATGACCTGCTAAGTTGTTTTTGTAGAGACAGGGTCTCACTATATTGCCTAGGCTGGTCTTGAACTCCTGCTTTCAAGCTATCCTCCTGCCTCAGCCTCCTAAAGTGCTGGGATTACAGGCATGAGCCACAGGCCTGCAGCCTGTTAACCTCTCTGATCAGTGGTGGGGAGCGAAGACAATACATAGGATAAGCAGTGTCTCACATATGCCACAGCAGTCACTCCATTTTCTGGATTCTTGCTGCTGAGATCACTTGTCCACGATCCAGCAACATCACCTTATTAGAACTTATGAGAAATGCTGAATCGCAGGCGTCACCCCAGACCTACTGAATCAGGGTCTGTATTTTGACCAAAACACCCAGGTAACTTCTATACTAATTAAAGTTTGAGAAGTACTGCCCTAGCCCAATGGTTTTCAAACTTCACTGCATATTTAGAAACACCTGGAAAGCTCTTAAAAATGTGGATGCCTAGACTGCACCCCAGAGTAATTACGTCAGAATCTCTGGGGTGGCATCTGGGTGCCAGTATGTTTAAGCTCGTCAGGTGATTCCAACGTGCAGCCAGGCTTGAGGGCCGGAACCCTAGACTGCTGGGCAATTTCCATGCGCTTTCACACTCATTGTGCTTTTTGCTTGTTCTAAAACCTCTCTGGGTGGGTGGAGCTCTTATCATTGTGCTCACGCAGCAAGTGGAGAACAGGAAGCCTGCACTGGCATACCCAAAAGGCACAGTCTTGACTCTGAGAGCTTAGAGTCCAGAATCCAAACACATAGAAGTCTAGTCTTGCGGGATAATAGAACCCAAGAGGTCATCTACTAAAATATCGGTTTTCAGGAATTACAGAAGGATATTTAGGACAAGGCATTCGGCAGGTTGGTGAGGGAATGAGGGGAGTGGGTCGAGGAAGACTTCCTGGGGGAGGTGGCCTGGGATCTGTGTGCATAGCAAAGTACTGGTTAGAGTAAGAATTTGGATCAAGGCTCACACCTGTAATCCCAGCACTTTGAGTGGCCGAGGCAGGTAGATCACAAGGTCAGGGTTTCAAGACCAGCCTAGTGAAACCCCATCTCTACTAAAAATACAAAAATTAGCCGGGCGAGGTGGTGTTCACCTGCAATCCAAGCTACTCAGGAGGCTGAGGTGGGAGAATCACTTGAATCCAGAAGGCGGAGATTGCAGCGAGCTGAGATCAGGCCACTGCACTCCAGCCTGGTAGGCAGAGAGAGACTCCATCTTAAAAAAAAAAAAAAGAATTTGGATCAAGGAAGACTCTAAAAGCAGAATTGCTAAGTGAAAAAAATTCCCAGCCTCCCACAAGAAAAGCTAATCAATATCCATGCTGAGTGGCCTCCCTCAGGAGATGCCATTCCTGACGCTCCCTTTCGGCCCCGCAGGACCTCCTGGGCCAGTACGGAATCTCCAAGTCACAGACACATCAAACACCAGCATCACCCTGAGCTGGGCCGGGCCGGACACCCAGGATGGGGATGAAGCCCAGGGATACGTGGTGGAGCTGTGCGGCTCAGACAGCCTCCAATGGCTCCCGTGCCATGCAGGCACCGTGCCAGCCACCACCTACACAGCCAAGGGGCTTCGGCCCAGAGAGGGCTACTTCGTGCGGGTGACAGCAGTTAACGAAGGAGGCCAGAGCCAGCCCACTGCCCTGGACACACTGGTGCAAGCCATGCCCATTACTGGTGAGTGCTGCCTCCTCCTCCGACCCCTGAGCCCTGCAGGCCCCTCCTGAGAGGGGGACCGCCGTTCACTTGCTGAGCCAGGATCCCCACCCTCAGTTTCAGCAAGCAACATTTATTGAGCACCTACTATGTGCTGGGCACTGAGCTAGGCAGTTCCTTCTTAGAAATGTTTTCTCATTTCAACTCTGCTACAAGGTTAATGTTTTTATTCCTAAGTTACAGAAAAGAAAACTGAGGTTCAAGGTACTTTGCCCAAATTGTCACCCATGGTATGTGGTAGAGCCAGGATTTAAACATGGAGACTCCAAAGTTGATGTTGTCCGGGAGAGAGGGCTGCTGCTTCCTGGGCATGGCCTTAGAAGGCCTACGTGCGGCTCGGCTCCCGCGGTTCACGTTCAGAGTGGGACATGCCCAGCTCCCCGTTATTATTGAAAAGAGGATTGTCTTTGCCTCCACCTACAAGCCCCTGAGCTGCCTCTGACCCAAGCTGACACTGACCCTAGCCGTCACTGTGACAGTAGGGAGACGCATACACAGCACACAGAGTCCAGACTCCCAGAAGTCTGTCCTGGCTCCCTCCCGAACAGGGTGTGACCTCAGGAAGTCACTGCCTGTCTTAGATTGGTGATTATCTCATCTGCAAAACATAAGCGTCCCGTCACAAATCAGCATCTTCCTCTGTTCCAGCCTAGCCCACCCCTCTCCCTGCAGCGTCCCTTTCTCAGCTCCTGTCCCTCCCCTGCGAGCATCTCCCCACCAGCCCCTGGGGTCCCCCTGAAGAGTCTGCCACCAGCTGCACTCCAGTCCCTCAGAGACCCCAGTGTGTTGGGATCCCAGCATCAATCCAGCTGGCCCAGTCGTCCCCTCCAGCCCTGCCTTGCTGGGGACCAGGAGTCCCACTGCGAGGGAGGAGGGAGGTAACCAGTCCTCTTGTGTGTTTCAGTCTGTCCCAAGTTCCTCATGGACTCCAGTACCAAGGACTTGCTGACTGTCAAGGTTGGGGACACTGTCCGTGTGCCTCTCTCCTTTGAAGTGAGTGTACCTACAGGGGTGTGGGGAGGGAAGCCCAGAGAGGCCAAGGGGCCAGACTCAGCCCTGTGGCTCTTTTCTTCCCTGTTCCTTTTTGGCCCCTAGTCAGTTCCCCGGGCTTGTGGAAATCAGGCGAGACCTGATGAAGGAAGGATTCAGGTCCTCCTCGAAGGTACCGCCCTCACTTGGCCACTAGGTGGCCATTCTGCTCCAGGCCTGCAAATCCCTCTAGCGGTGGCTCCTGGTACTGCACCTCCAAACTAGGGCTCTTCCTGTTCTCCACCTCTCCTAGTGTGGGAATTCAGGGAGCCTGCCGTGCAAATAATCCGCTTTGACTTCACAATGTATTTTTGTGCAAGCATACGACCTGCATTTAACTCAGAGTGACCTCAACCAACACCAACACCACCTGACTTTATAACAGTAGGGTGGTGGCTAGAAGTACAAACTGCCTATGTTCAAATTCCATCATCACTCACAGCTGTTTGACTTTGGACAAATATATATATAAGTTTTTTGTTTTTTGGTTTTTTTTTTTGAGATGGCGTCTCGCTCTGTCTCCCAGTCTGGAGTGCAGTGTGCGATCTTGGCTCACCGCCACCCCCACCTCCTGGGTTCAAGCAATTCTCCTGCCTCAGCCTCCCAAGTAGCTGGGATTACAGGCAGGTGCCACCACACCCGGCTCATTTTTGTATTTTTAGTAGAGACGGGGTCTCACCATGGTGGCTAGGCTGGTCTCAAACTCCGGACCTCAGGTGATCCACCCGCTTCAGTCTCCCAAAGTGCTGGGATTACAGGCGTGAGCCACCGCTCCCCGCCTGCACAAATATCTTAACGTCTCTGTGATTCACCTTCCTCATCTGTCAAAACGGTATAATAACAGTAACCTATCTCCAAGGGTTGTTCTGAGAGTTCAAGGAATTACTATATTGAAAGTGCATAAGTAGGGCCAGGCGTATGGCAGCTCCCAATATGTTTGAATATTGTTATTGTTCTTATTGGTTAAAATCATCAGCATCTGTGGAGGAAGCTCATAACTGCAGAGCAAGATTCAAACCATCTATCTTACTCAAAGGACTTGTTCTTAACCATAATAAGACAATGATAATGACAAGAATATTTAACACACACTGAGTGTTTACCATGTCCTAGGCCTTGCTCTCTCTGCTGTCCACCTATTATTATTATTATTATTATTGGTATTTTGAGATGGAGTTTCACTCTTGTTGTCCAGGCTGGAGTGCGATGGTGTGATCTCGGCTCACCACAATCTCTGCCTCCCAGGTTCAAGCGATTCTCCTGACTCAGTCTCCCAAGTAGCTGGGATTGCAGGCATGCACCACCACGCCCAGCTAATTTTGTATTTGAGTAGAGACAGGGTTTCTCCATGTTGGTCAGGCTGGTCTGGAATTCCCAACCTGAGCTGATCCACCCTCCTTGGCCTCCCAAAGTGCTGGGATTACGGGCGTGAGCCGCCGTGCCTGGCCTCCATGTATTAATGCCTTAAATTCTCAGAACAATCCCATGGGGTTAGTTAGTTACTATCAGCATCTTCATTTGACTCTGATGCCCAACGTGCCCTGTACTGAGGGCCCTGTAGGGAGTTGGTGGCATGGTCACCAGGCAGCTGGGGTGGCCTCCCCACCCTGCTCAGGGTCACCACAGTTCAAGGCCAGGATGCCACAATTCTCCTCCTGGACTATTGCTGGGATTCCCAAATTATCTCCGACGTTGTCTTGGGTGCCAAGGTGGTTAACGCTCCCCTCCCCACAAGTCCCTTCTCATTCCCATCCCATCCCTGCCATGTGAATCCAGAACTCATTATGCTTTCCCGCTCAGAATCTGACAAGAGCAGCTCCTGGCTTGCAGGGTAACATCAGACGTCTGTACAGGTGTGACGTGGAAGGCACGTTGGATTTTTGCTGAACCTCCCGTCCAACTTCCTTTCCTGCTCCACCAACCCGCTACCATCCCCACCTGCCAACCTCACACTTTATCACCACCCTTCTTTCCCCCCTGTGTTTTCTTGTCGACTTTCTCCCTGTAGAAGGCTCTTCTCACCGCTTCTGCCTTCGGCCTAGCTTAAATGCCATCACTTCCGTGAAACTGCCAGCTGCCCCTTCGCAACTTTTCCTTCCTCTCCTTTCTCAGGCTGTGCCCATGCCTGAGGTGACCTGGCTGAAGGATGGCTTGCCCTTGCCCAAAAGAAGTGTGACCATCACCAAGGATGGCCTCACCCAGCTTCTGATCCCTGTAGCAAGCCTTTCGGACAGCGGTCTCTACACTGTGGTGCTGAGGACCCCACAGGGGAAGGAGGTTGCCTACAGCTTCCGCATCAGGGTGGCAGGTGAGGCAGGCCTGGCTCTGGGCTGGGGATGCTGGCTCGGCCACTCACCAGGGCAAGGAGGTATCCACTGCTCTGGTCATAGGTCTCAGCCACTCTACCAGGGCTGGGTATGCAGGGATGCAAGGTGACTCCATTCTCCACCTCTCCTCCCTGCTTGGTGATAGAAAGTAGAAAAGACCCAGGAAGATTTCCTGGGGACTTCCATTGTTCTTCTGCCTCAGGAGCCTAGAGACAGTCATGTCGTGTCTCCTCTCCAGTCTGTTACCGCCCTTACTTCACTCCCAAGACCCAGGGGGCAGAATTGCCAGCAACCCTTGCGTAGGATAAAGGCTTTCCTCCCTAGCCATGGCTCCACACAGCCCCTGCCCTGGAGGTATCCAGAAACGAGCAGACAGAGTAACAGTGGGGCTCTGTAATGCAGCCTCAGGAGAGCCCTGCCTCTGTCCAAAAACGCACGCCTTGTCCTGGATCATTTTACTCAAAAACTGAAGTGAATTAAAATTACTCTTTTGGGGAAATATTCTACCCTCTAGAGATAGCTTTGGACCTCTGGCTAAGCTCACTCTGGCTCCAGTTACCTGCGTGGTGACAAGACTGCGTTCCCCAGGACGCTCAGAAGACCTGGGACCTGGAGGGGGCTGGCAGCAGCCCTGCTGGGTCCCCTCCATGTGACCTCCCTCTGCCGTCTCTCTTGAAGCATGCCCGCAGGCGCCTGGGCCCATCCACCTGCAGGAGAACGTGCTTGGGACGGTCACCGCCGAGTGGGAGCCCTCTCCAGACGAGGCCCAGGGTGTCCCTCTGCACTACGCGGTACTCACGCGCTCCTCTGCGCACAGCCTCTGGCGCGAGGTGGCCGACCGTGTCCACACAAACCGCTTCACCCTCCTGGGCGTCGTCCCCGGCCATGAGTACTACTTCAGGGTGGTGGCCAAGAATGAGCTGGGGACCAGCAAACCCTCGGAGACCAGCCAGCCCTGGTGCATCCCCCGGCAGCGCGGTAAGCAGCCCCTGGGAGCGGGGAGCGGGGAGCAGGCAGGGTGGGGGCTGCACTCGGCTTTGCAGCGGGGTGCACCCAAGTACGGCAGGCGCGCAGGATAGGCGCTGTGGCGGAGCTGGCCCGGAGCACGCCAAATCACAGCCAGCAGCCCTGAGCTGCTGCTCCTCCCACTCCTGCCTCACACACACACCTGTACTGACATCCTCTGCACCCCTGACCTCTGTGGGGAGAACGAGATGGGTGTGGGTGTTTGGGTGTCTGAGATGCCTTTGGGAGAACTTCAAAAGTAGCCTTAGAAAATAAGGTGAATAGAGGTTAATGTTTCTCTGAAAAACAAATGGTATGTGTGTGTGTGTGTGTGTGTGTGTGTTGAGACGGAGTCTCGCTCTGTCTCCCAGGCTGGCGTGAAGTGGTGTGATCTAAGTTCACTGCAACTCTGCCTCCCTGGTTCAAGTGATTCTGCTGCCTCAGCCTCCTGAGTAGCTGGGACTGCAGGTGCACGCCACCACACCCAGCTAATTTTTTAGTAGAGACAGGGTTTCACCGTGATAGCCAGGATGGTCCCAATCTCCTGACCTCATGATCTGCCTGCCTCAGCCTCCCAAAATGCTGGGATTACAGGCATGAGCCACCACGCCCATCCAACAAAATGTATTTTGCAACCAAGTAGATGTGGACCTTAAGATCAGTCACTGGAAAAGTAGGCTATAAAATCAGATGATGGTTTCATTTTCATAAAATACAAACAGATCAGGAAAGCTCTCCACCAAAACGTCAGCTGTGGTCATCTACAGGTAGTGAGTTATGGCTGGTTTTTATTCTTTCTCCTTTGATTCTCTGTGTATTCTAAGTTGTCCACAGTGCATGTGTGTTAGCATGTAGTAAAAGAAAAATCCATAAAGAATTTTAGGAAAAGGGTAGAATGTGTCAAGCCTTGGGGTCCAAATCTGCAGTCCAGATGAGGCAGGCAGCCCCAGGTAAGGCCCACATGGCAGCATCACGAGCTCTTGAGCAGACTTGGGCCTCAGCCAGGCCTCCCTCACTTTCCTACCCTCCTCCCTCTGACCCCGGTTTTCACCACAGACAGGTTCACAGTGAAGGCTCCGAGCTACCGGGAACCCGATCTGAGCCAGAAGCCCCGGTTCCTGGTGGGTCTGCGGTCCCACCTGCTGCCCCAGGGCTGTGAGTGCTGCATGAGCTGCGCGGTGCAGGGCTCGCCCCGGCCCCAAGTCACCTGGTTCAAGAACGACCGAAGCCTGGAAGGAAGCCCCGGGGTGTACAGCACCGACCTGCTCGGCGTGTGCTCCCTCACCATCCCCAGCGTGTCCCCGAAGGACAGCGGCGAGTACAAGGCTGTGGCCGAGAACACGCTGGGCCAGGCGGTCAGCACGGCCACCCTCATTGTCATAGGTAATGGTGGCTGCCCTGGCAGTGGGACAGGAAGGAGAGCCAGGAGAGCAGCCACCTGCCTGCCTTCAGAGAACCTCCGGGGGTGGGGGCTAAAAGGATTCAGCCAGGGGTCAGGAGACGGGGACTCTCTGCCTGACTCTGAACTGTCACTTATTTAACCGACCAACACTGGCCCGCCTGGGGCCTTGATTTGCCCACTTTTTAATTAATTAATTAATTAATTTACTTATTGAGATGGAGTATTGCTCTTGTTGCCCAGGCTGGAGTGCAATGGTGCCATCTCGGCTCACTGCAACCTCCACCTCTTGGGTTCAAGCAATTCTCCTGCCTCAACCTCCTGAGTACCTGGGATTACAGATGCCTGCCAGCACACCCAGCTAATTTTTTGTATTTTTAGTAGAAGCAGCATTTCACCGTGTTGGCCAGGCTGGTCTCAAACTCCTGACCTCAGGTGATCCACCCGCCTCGGCCCACCAAAGTGCTGGGATTACAGGTATGAGCCACCATGCCTGGCTGATTTGTCCACTGTTAAAATGAGGTATTTGAACTTGGTGAACAACCATTGATTGAAGGGCTGTGTACTGTCCACGTAAGCTTCCCAGTGGGGCACGTGACACATGGCAGGCTGAGAGATGAACAGCTGTCTGTTTTGCTCTTTCTTAAATATGTCCAGATATGGACACTTAGTGCCCAGAAAGCCGTGCTGATTCGCTCATTGGTAGTCTCCTTTTCGGTAGCACAAATAACATATGCAAATAAAATTTTTTCCTTCAATAGTACTTAAAACACCTTGTATTTTGAATAGCAATAGAAGGCAACCATCAATTGATCTTTGTGCGGAAACGGCTCCTCTGCACCGGAGCAGGGCATTTCTCCTCCCTGCAGTGCCTGTGCTTAGGCATTTGGGAAGCCACTCTCGAAGCACCCCAGCTTGTGTATACCATATAGTCCTGGAAAGAAGCTGCTATTGGGGGTGGTTATAGTTCCCCAAGGGGCCAGCAAAGGGCTTTACCCAAGCTCGGAGAGCACTGGTGGCTCCGGATTTGAACCCACACCCCCTGACAGCAGAGCCCGTAGCCTGAACCCCATGCTGTTTTCTTCACCGCTAAGCAGGTGTGGGGTGGGGTGGCTGCCCCACCGGACCAGTGGGAATACCCTGTGTCTTGCAGAATCCAGCTTCTAGCTCCACCTCACCCTGGGATGGTCCTGGACCCTCCGAGCTTCACTTCTGCCATCTGCCCTGGCCCAGGAAGCTAGTCCCAAAGTTTGGAGGCCATGTCCAGAGCCCCAGGAAGACGGAAGTGAGAAGACTCCTGGTGAGGTTTTGGCCAGGAGGACATGAAGTCCTTGGGGAAGAAAAACAAGGCGGGGGGGCATTCCGCCTCCTGGCTCCAAGCTGTCACTCAACAATGACAGCAGACCTCCTGGACTCTCACCATATGGGTTTCTTTTTTCTTCGCTTCAGGAGATCCAGAGGGCACCTGCCTGCAGGATGGGCCAGCTCCTTATTTTCTGGGCTGAACACCTTGGAGGGAGGGTGGGCACAGCTGGGCCTGCTGTGACCCCAAGGAAGAAAGAGGAGAGGAGGTTAGAGGACCTGGGTGAGGACTAGGGCATCGAGGGCGTGTGTGTGGGTGGGCACAGGGGTGTGGCATGTTCTCTCTGTACTTTTCGTCATTAAAACATTAGGCTAATATGAGCAGATCATTTGCAGATTTACTGGGGTGGGTGTGTTGGTGGAAAGATTCCCAAAGCAGAGCCTTTATTCCGGGCTCCGGTTGGGAGGATGCGTGGGTTCTGGATGGAGGGAAGAATGGGCTCAGAACCGGATTCTCCTGCAGCCCTGACCTGCACAGCTGTGGCAAGCGGGGGAAAGCCAAGAAGTGTTAGTGGGTGATGGAGATGCCTCTGTTCCTCCTGGCCTGCCTCCTGCACTTCTGGCTGGCAGGAATCCTGTGAGCAGCAGGGCTGGAGGTCTCCCCAGGTGTTACGTGTGGGGACCACAGGGCTGGGGTTGCCCAGGGCTGTCGTGTGTCTGTCACTCTCCAGGATGAGAAAGACCCTGAGCTGGGGAGAATCCTGCTCCGGGATCTGAGCCCTGTCAGAAGGGATGAAAGAGACCATCCATTGCCTGAGGGTGTGACTCTCGCTCAGGCTCCACGAGGCCTCCTGAGCTTCTCCACAGCCCCCACTTCCCCATGTCACAGGCGGGTCACCCCCCACTGCCCCCAGAACCCCTGCACCCCCTCACACTCCCTTATTCTCAAGCCACGGCCCCAGAACTCTCAGGCTGCCAGGAAATACTCCAGTTTCCAGGAGCCAAAAGGAAGGCGGGAGCCCTGAGGAAGGCGGAGCCCCACTCTCTCCCAGGGCATCAGCTGTGAGGCCAGCAGGTGACCCGATGAGCTAGAACACTGCCTGCCTTTCACTCGCTCTGCTCAGACCCTGGCTTCGGCTCCCCACAGCCCCGCCTTTACCACTAACTGCAGGTCAGCTGCAGGAAGGAAGGAGCGTGAATCACAGGAGGAGGGATTGATGTCAAAACCCGTTTCTGAAGAGTGAGAATATGTGACCAAGGGAGGGCTCCTTGAATCGGAGAGAGAACTGTTCACCCAAAATAGACCAAGAGTGTCCCCCAGAGGCAGGGGCATGGACCAGATGACCTTTTATAGTGCGTTCCTGCCCCCACCAAAGAAACCTGCATGAGCTGTTTTCCTTGGAATTTCTCTCTTATCTCTACTTGCTATCACAGCAGGGCCATAGGGCAAAAGGGAGTTCTCAGAAACTGAGAGGCAGTTGCTTGACACCTCAGCCTCTGTGGGGCTGTTCTCATGAGTGCTTTCCCTGCTGTGTGGTCCTGGAGTTGAAGGAGGGCAAAGCCTCAGGCCAATAGTCTGTGATTTCAGAAATGCAGAGAAGTGGTCATTTGCACAGAGTGGGTGACCTAGTGCCCATGGCATGCCTAGCTCTGAGCAGACACTCACATTAAGGATGAGAAGAGAGACCTTAAGGGTGGGGTACTGGGGACTGATCTTTTGAGTCAATAGAAGGACAAAAGACTGTAAACCAGGATGGCTTTCATGAGATATCTTCATTTCTTTGATGAGCCTGGATCAGGCACTGTGGAGGCAGAGATGAAGATGACTCAGACCTGAGTCCTATCGCCAAGGGACCCATGGCAGGGAGGCAAGACTTGTATACCAAATCCACAATCCAAGGTAGCTTGTGATGCATACTCTAAGAAAGGCAGCAATAAAGTCCAGAGGAGTGCAGAGGGGAAGAGACGCTGCCGGCTGAGAACCTCAAGGACGGCTTCCTGAAGTGGTAACATCCTTGAGGGAGAAGTAGCAACTAGACGGGCAAAAATGGGCAAGGGGGCATCGGGGCAGAGAACACCATGAGCAAAGTCAAGGAGGTAGGGAAGCACAGGCTGGGTTCAAGCGCTGGCAGGGATTCAGTGTGGACAACTCAAGGTGACCTACATAGCTACCCCAGCCCTTTGGTCTAATGCAAAGGGAAACATCTCTGGACCAAATTTACGGGCGGATGTGTGCTCTGCGTGCCAACCACAATGGAAGCAGAGCTCCTGCCCTCAGAGGCCTGGGACAGTGGAAAGCGGTGGTCTCTTTTGGCAGTGGACAGCAGAGTGCCAGTATCCCAGGGCAGGCCAGGTTAGGTGTCCCTGGGAGGGGCTAGCATACTTCTGTAACTGGGGTGAGATATGAAGACAAAAAAGACAAAAGGAACAGGCATGGCATTTTCATTCATTTCCACGCAAAGCCAAAAAAAAGTCCTTGCCAGCCAAGTATAGAATCTGAGCATAAGATTAAGGGTTTAAAGACTAGTTCTGCTACTAACTAGTTGTACAAGATCTTTAACCTATCTGTGCCTCGTTCTTCATTTGTAAATTAAGAATAAGAGTTGCCTAATCCAAGGTCACATTTAGGTCCGTAAATCCTTGGTAGTTCACCTTCATAAATGGATGGAAGTAGAAGCTGTCTTTATTTCTCTCCATTTCATGATCAAGTTTTCTAATGCTATTCAATAATCTCTTCTACCGCCTGGGAAAGTTCTCGTATGCAATTTGGTATGTTTCTGGTCTCTGTATTCTGTTACTTGGTCCATTTCCTATTTCCACACCTGTAGTATAGTGGTGTAATTTTAAGTATGACTTCATAGGTGGTGGGTTAAACCCCTCTTTTGGATTTTCTTTTACAAAGTTGACATGGCTATTTGTAGAACTTTACTTTTCAATATAGAGTTTGGTATAAGTTTGGGTTTTAAAAAATACTGCTAGAATTTTAATTGAGATTACATTGATTTAATGTAATCAGAGGAGATAATGGACAAATTTACAATATTTAGTTATTCTACTGATGAGAAAGATTTAACTTCTTCACTTATTCAAATCTTTAAATGTCTTGACCTTATTCAATGTCTTTTATTAAATGCCCTTTCTTAAATTTTATATTTTCTCTAAGAATGTGATGTACATCCTTTGTTAGAGTAATTCCTAGCTACTTTGTAGCCTTTATAACTATGAATGGCATTCTATTGTCTACTCTATTTTTTAGTTGGTTACCGATGGTGTAAAACACCGATACTGATTTTTTAAAAGTTAATATTGTATTCAGCCTTTCAGTGTCTAAGTATTTTATCCTGTCATCTGCAAACAATGATTTCACTTCTTCTCTTCCTCTTCCTGTTTTTTGCACCCTAATTTTCCTCACCCACTGCATTGACTACTGCTTCCAACACTGTAACTGTAGCATAAATAACAGGCATCCCTGCATCATTTGCTATGTTAAAGGAATGCATCTACCAATTTGTCATTTGTCTTTCTGCATCTTTGTCTGTCTCTCCAGCTAGAACATTAGCTGCAGGAGGGTAGGTGCTGGATTTTATTTGTCATTGGCTTCTCAACTTTTTGCTCAGTCCCTGATATATAGTGACCTCAAATACTTTTTATTTCTTCTCAAGATGTGAGTATCCCTCCTAATCTCTCAAAGGCCCACATGCAGAGACAGCACTGCTCACATATCTTAGCTCTAATTTATAAAAAGCAGAGAAGGTTTAAAGAGAGACTATGAGACAAATGTACAGAAAGTGAAATAAATGTTTGATGTAAGTACAATTTTTAGTCATATTTGGCTGAGGAAATCTACCAAATGCCATATGGATGGAGAGAAAGACTCTATTCAAACAAATAAAAAATAAAATACTTGGTGTAAAGGTAAAATAAAGATGGCTTTTTGAGTAAGGAGAGAAATGGTACTTAGATAATTGATCAACTATTTGGGAAACACTTAATTGGATGCTTACTTCATACCATACTTTGTAATACATTTCAGCTGGATTGAAGAGACAGTTATAAAACATGCATGTATGAAAGTAAAAGAAAAAATGTAAGTTAATATATATTTTATCTTGGGGTTGGAAAAGGGCTTTCTGAGTCCTTTCCATCAAAGACAAAAACTTTTTAAAGAGTTGACTACATAACAAAATAAACTTTGAATTTTAAAATGATCATAAACAAAATTAAAAGGCAAATGGAAAATTGGTTTAAATTTTTTACAACATATATGGCAGTCAAATTTTGATAATAAAGAGTTTTTATAAGTCAATAAAAAAGGAAAATTATCTATTACAACACTGTAATAGACATTTGTACAAAAAGGAATCATGTAGTTTATAAAAATTATGAAGCAATATATTGCAATTATGTGCCACTTGTCACCCCTCAGTTTAGCAAGAGTTAAAGAATTATAATAACTAGGCTTTCAGTGTATCAAAAATACAAACTTTTATATACTACTGTTCTATAATTTGATAGAATATCTCTGCAAGAAAGTTAGTTAATATATGCCAAAAGCCTTAACATGTATAGATCTCTTGGTGATAGAATAATTTAACTTCTCTGAATATATTGTCATGAGGGCAAAACAGAGACTTTTTCAGAAAAACAGAGCTGAGAGAATTTACCAATAAACTGAATAATTTTCACTCATTAACTTCAGGTAGAAGAAAAATGATTCTAGAGATAAGTTCTGAGAAGCAAGAAAGAATGGCAGTATAGATATTTTAAAACAAATAGGATATATAAAAAGTCCATACATTTGGAGACTCAAAAGCATACCATTGAACAATTAATTACATAAAGAAAAACCATAATAAAAAGAAGAAAATATATAGAACTAAGTAATTTTTAGAACTATCATCAAAACTTGTAGAATCCAGTGAAAAGAAAATGTAGAAGAAAATTTGTAGCTTATATGCTTACCCTGAAGAAGAATAGAAAGGTTCAATATTAATAAGATAAGGATCCATGTCAGAGACAATTTCCCAGCCTCCCGCAGTCAGATATGCTCATGTGACCAAGCTCTAGTCAAGGGAATAAGGGCGGAAGCAATGTGAATAATGTTACTTCCTGTACAAGCGTCCATTCTTTCTCTCTTCCTTCATCTACCAGCTGAATGCAAAGCTTCTTTTGCAGGACTCTGTAATCCAGAGTATAGTGGAGCCAACTGATGAAAGTGTCTCCAGTTCCTGAATGATTTTGGATGGAGCAAGTTCCTCCAGGGCAACCTACATTGGACTGAGATATGAGAAACATACTTTAACTGTGTTAGGGCTACTGAGATTTGGAGGTTGTTACAGCGGTTAGCCTATCTTGACTAATATAGAAAATAACTTTTTAAAAAT